GCGAAGTTTTTTTGTAGACTCTAATGCAATACAGCTTACGATGGTGGCGTGATATGTTTAACTTTACGTTAGTTTAAATTTTCTTAACCCACATAGTAATAATAATTTACCTTTAACTTATTCTAACTGTACTTATTCGTAGAGCACCAGCTCTATGGCCACCTATCTACCAGACGCCAACTTAAATCTTTAGTGCACATGAACCCCACCGCTAAAGCGAACAAAATCAAAGTTGGAGGAAAGACATATATTTGAGCCGTTTATTATTTTCCGCCTCATCTCCGGCCGCTCCAGCTTTTTTGCTTATCTGATAGAGGTGAGACGGGGCTATCGTGTCCACACAAGCGGCATCCCATACGAAAGCCCGTCCCATTCTCCAAGGGATCAATGACATCCTATCCGGTCGTTTGCCATCGGTTCTAGCGATGCCTGTTGGCTCCAAAATAGCTGCAACATTGATGGAGGCAAGAGAGCGGCGTATCACGGCCAGTACTCTTTTGGCAATGCAGACCATGCTGGCCAAGACTCACTTACTTCAACGCCACACTTATTACTTACTTTTTTTATATTAATTATTTTTTAATGAGATAAACTTCTTTAAACCTAAACATCTCTATTTGCAGATGTCAGCAATGAAGTATGCATTTGTCGCTGTCATTTTGGCAGTTATCTGCTTAGTTCAAGTTAGCGAAGCAAATTACAAGACCGCTCCAATGAATGGTATTATGTTTGGCAAGAGAGGTCCTTCTGGTATGTACTTAAGAAAAGCACAAAAGAAAAACTTTGGTCATATTTTTTATAATCACTTTCTTTTTTTAATCTATTTGATTGACAAATCATGAAACAGATACAGAAATCTGAACAGACCTAAAAAGGTTGTAGCGCCACTGATTGTTTGGTTAAACAAATAATATATTAACAATTTTTTTCACAGAATATGAGAACAGAGCCAAGGCATTTACTGCCCTCTGTGAAATTGCCACTGAAGCTTGCCAAACCTGGTTCCCTTCGCCGGAAAATAAGTAGACGACTTGATAATCAGGCTTAATGTTACCAATATATCTAATCGTATTTATGTAATAGCAAAATAAAATTTTATGGACTGACCACACTTTTATTTATTGAAAGCGGACTTTACGAACTTCAGAGTATTATTTTGTTATTGATTAGTTACACAATGATTACAGTTAAGTTGTTATTATTATTTTGGTCTTGTTCAAAATATAGATTATTTTAGAACAAATATGATTGCCATAAAAATTACACTCTTATCAGACAGTAATTTGTATAAAACATGTTATGCTTAAGCTTTAAAAAAGGTTATGAAGTAAAAACCTCGTAACTTAACAAAAGTCCGTACTTAAAATATTGATTTTAATATTCGCGGGTTCTTCAAATTACAAATGTGTTATTTAAATGTTTAAACAAAAAAACAATTTGTATAGATTCTAGTCACTAATACAAAATTTGTAATGGTCTAAATTCATGTCTAATAGCAGTGTCGCAATCTGTAATGGTGAACCATTCAGATTCCTCAAATAAACAAACTACGCAAAAAACTACATTTAATATGCTTACAAAGAGTATTCATTATTTTAATAAAAGTAAAGACTCCAAAATACAATAAAAAAAGGGTGCGTGTACTTATGTACGCGCGTAAGAAGTTATACTTCTTTGGCATTATTAAAAATAGTTTTTGATTGCATGCAAATAATTAATTACAATTAAATAATCAAAGACTGGAAAAGGAGTCATTATAGTCGAGAAAGTTCAGTTTACATTTGAAAAATTAAATAAATAAATATTTATAATTATTCTCTTACATTAAGTGTAACATAAATTCTATTATTATTCGAATGTTGTTTTTAAATTATGTCCAATGCCGTAGCATCTTCCGTGGGCAACTTCATTCTGATAATTTTGTGTCACGGTGCGCGCGCATCGTAAAATTTCACTCTCATCAATTTTTCATAATGCGCCTAAAGAAGTATAACTTCAAAAAGAATTAAATAACAAAATTAATTCAATGAATTGAAAGATACTTCATTTGTTTAAATATGGAGTATCACAATGTAATCGTCGTCATATAATGGTCGTATTAAATAACCTACATACATTTAGTCGATGTAAAATGAACATAATATATTATGTGATATGCAATTTTAGACTTTCAAGAAAATCGTAATTTTTTATCACATTCTCACTGTACTATACTTCGTCATAATAATCGTTATATTAGTTTACAATAATTTAAATAGATGGCAGCCTAATCAAATTAGTTGAACTTTAAAGTCCTTCCACGTTTGACCCAAATATTAATTAACAAACTTACAACCCTCGTGAGCATGATGAAGAAAGTAAAACTTATCTTTGAACCGACATAACTATATTATGAGACTCGTTCTTATGAGCATTTGATTGTTCCCATTTCCTACTGAGTAAATCTCACGTATTTATTATGTTTTTCTTAAATTTCTGTTCCTATTCACGTAGATAGCTTCTCATTGGCTCTCTAGTCGCATGTTCTTGAAGTATTGATAAAATTTCAATGACAGCTGTCTAAGCAGTCACTCTGAAACAACGCAGTGACCAGTGTGACTGTTTTTAGTATATTCAGTACCAAATTGGTATAATATGGCCCTCGTAAAACTAATTTAGATTTTTTTGTATCCTTTCATATTCTGGTATTTGTTGGTACATTTTTGAACTTTCAACATTTTTAACCAAATTATTGATATATTTCAGGTATATGTCCAGGTCTTAGTCTTTCCAGCCATTTCCATGATTTCATCGGCCGACCTTTTAAATTGCACATAACATACTCCCATAGTCCATTTTAAATTAAAGGAACATACTATGAATGATGTTTAACTGTCAATTTGACAGTGTCAAATATCAAGAGATGTATATCAGTGAATAGATACATGAAGTCCTAAGTTAACACGATTTTGAAGTTTGTCTAAAACTTTGATGCTCCAAGCAATTAGTTAGATAAACATTTTGCCGACTGTACATAAAGCTTTACAAGGTTTTCACAACTTTCCACTTTCCAGCAGTCCTATTACCATCAGTTTCAGAGTTATTAAAATTGTTAGAGATAGCGTGTCAAATATCAATTTAAAGAAGTCGGCTTATACGTTTTTGCGTTACCTACTTAAAAACTTCTATCCGATCCGTATATAAGCACTTTGATGTATGTATGTATATATACATACATACATCAAAGTGTATGTGTATGTATAATGTATATATGTATATGTATATAAATATATGTGAAGTCTTTTTAAATTCAAGATCATTTATTCATTACGGTAACAGTAACACAGTGTATACCTATGAATGTCAATAAAGAAATACGTATTAAATGCTTCTAATTTTACATTTATTGCCAGTTCTCAAATCAAGGCCGTAGAACGTACGAGAAGAACTGGCAATCAACTCTCTTTTTAATCGCCAAGATTTTGTTTAACACAATGTTTGTAAGGAGCTGCAACCATTCCTAGCTGCACCACCTTGTTCCACATGACATCTTTAGGTAATAGACTATAATAAAAAATATATATAAACAATAAAAACAAAAATGTGTCCTCTATCGGCAGTAGGTACGGTGAAATAGGAGCACACAGCACGTATTCTTGCAGGCATTTCTAGTAACCAAGAGACTTGGTATTCGAAGCCCTAAAGATAATTGAGAGAAGACCATAAAATAGATCCTTAGGGCTACAGCTCTTTAAACAAAAGATAAGAAAACTTTTATAACAAGTTATAATATATTATACCTAGTAATGTCTTAACGTTGATAACATATTATAGTTTAAAACTAAAAAAACAACCCAACAACCCTTTAGGTCTGGGGCTCAGATGTCTATATCAGTTTCATGATCTGTCAATCTAACAGGCAAGGGTCTAAGGCAAGCTCACGTTTTCCTTCGTACGAGCGAATATTAAATGTGCACATAGAAAGTCCATTGGTCCACAACTATCTATTGTGTATAAGATTACGAATTAATTATTTTCTGCCTTGATTTCCTTTGACCTAACCTATATTCAGTGGCCTAACAATAGGGTGGCAGGGCTGGCAAAATGCCATGGGCCCCCGACCCAAGAGGGCCCCTGCCCAAGAGATATTATGTTCTATGGATGAATGTGAAGTCTCCAATACCCATTGGGCTAGCGTGGGGACTACAGACCATTCCCTCTCGCCTAAGAGAGGAGGCCTATGGCCATTAGTGGGACATGTACAACGTGTAATTGAGTACGCTGAAAATCTCGAAGTTAATTAAAATTAAACTGAGTACAACGTGACGTTTTTTACTGATAGGGCCTCATTAAAAGAATTTGCCATGGGTCCCAGATGGTACCGTTATGCCACTGCCTATATTACACCGCGCCTTGCTGAGATGAAACGATGGTTTCTTATAAAATTACTAGTAAATTTAACATCTGAAGAGGAGATGGTTGCAGATGCTTACAAACATTTCGTAGGCGATTTAAAGAAGTGTTGCCAGTACTTCTAGTTCTACCAGCTTGATTTTAGAACTGAATGTATATTTAGAATAGTTTAGACATAAGTGATTTATGAATTAATGATATTTTGATTTTTTTCACCATATATATATGTTGTAACTATCAGCTATGTCGTCAATGTAATGTTTGGTCTTATCGAAATGTAGACCGTCTGTTTTGGTAATCTGGGGGCACGGCAGTGCGCCCGCCACGTCGAGGAAAGAACTGGCATGTTTTCGATGGCATAGAACTTACATATACATAAATAGTGAGAGTTTAAGTGCGGAAACTGACTTAAAACAAATAAAATAACTAAATACATAATGATTTGTATTTTATTTTACATTTATTTTCTCTGAACAATTTATTACACAAATTTTGTAAATAAAGCGTGTTTTGAATTTCGAATGTTGCCGAGTGATTAGGAGTAGCGGTTTGAATTTCGAATCATGTCCATGTGTGCTGTGGTGTAGTAATTCGAATTCGAATGAAGACTACTTGTTGTCTAATATCTGGTTGAGCCACGCCTCGCACGTCTCAGTTGTGATTTCGCATAATGCAATTAGTGCGTGATTCGTATCAATATCTGTAACAAGAAGTATGTTATAATATATATTATACACTAGCTGGTGCCCACGACTTCATCTGCGCACGATTTTAATAATATTAGTCCAAATGATGTAACGTGGAAGACATATCTTATCTCCCTTAAATACCAGAAGCGATAAAACTATTTTCAATTAGGAATCCATTTATTACTATGTACAAATGTGCTTTTGAAATAATTTATTAATTTATATTGAAGTTGTGGTTCACTATTTTGGCTATAATGGCTTCCACATAAGATATAGATATAAACTGAGGTGGGCTTTTTTGTAAGACTATTTAAGATAAACATTTCCATCGTACTTAACATATACGTGTAATTCTAGCGGTTTTGGCTGCGCACGCCAGAATAGCTCGCAGATGGTAGATTTTTTCCTACTTCCTTGATATTTTTGACAATTCACACAATATTTTTATAAATTGTAGCCTACGTGTTATTCTGATGAATGAGCTATATTATTGTAAAGTTTCATGAAAATCCATTCAGTAGTTTTTACGTGAAAGAGTAACAAACATCCACCCATACTTACAAACTTTCGCGTTTATAATATTAGTAGGATATCTTAAACGCTTTCTTTATGTAACAGTCCGCTCTGTAATACCTCCAACCTTGGACTCCTAAATAATATTGAGTCGTGACTTTGTATGACTCCCGGTCTTGTACCTATTAGTTTTGAAACACTTAGTTCGCGACTAAGAGTGGCGGATAGTTTATTGCCATCTTCTCTTCCGTTCTACGCCCTTGATTTGAGAACTGGCAGTAAATGTAAAATAAGATGCATTTAATGTACCTATATTTCTTTTTTGACGTTCATAAGTGTACATTGTGTCACCTATATGAATAAATGATTTTGACTTTTGACTAAGTCTCGACTATGAATTAACTAGTTAACTCACCACTTGCTGTTCTTTTGCCAAAAATGGAGCCATTAAACGGTATATTCTTGAAGGTCGCTTCTGTCAGGGTGATGATGGCAACAGCAAATACAAATAGAAAAATGTTACGCATCTTGCGGCTGAAAGATATTTTATTAGGTTAGACTATTGTAGTACAGGAGAGGGTTGCTGTGAGAAGTGGCGTAACAATAGGGTGGCAGGGCTGGCAAAATGCCACGGGCCCCCGACCCAAGAGATATATATTCTATGGATGAATGTGAAGTCTCCAATACGCATTAGGCTAGCGTGGGGACTACAGACCATTCCCTCTCGCCTGAGAGAGGAGGCCTATGGCCATTAGTGGGACATATACAACGTGTAATTTAGTACTCTGAAAATATCAAACTTTATTAAAATTAAACTGACAACAACGTGTCGATTTTTACTGATAGGGCCCCATCAAAAGAATTTGCCACGGGCCCCAGATGGTATAAATAGCCACTGGCTGTGACTACTGAGTATCCTTGGCAAATGAAAAAAAATACATTTATGTTCTTAGTCTATATTGTAACCCAAGGTAAACCAATATGCTGCGGAAACTATTGACAATAGAGCAGTGTACTTCAGTTTTATCTATATAGTATATATAGTCAATATCTACAAAGACCAAGCCTTGATGGACATAGGCTATAGAGTATTGTCACAAACTTATGAGCAGGACAGCCATGTAACCCAAGGTGTGAAGACCAATAAAGGTTCATATATGCTGCGGAAACTATTGAGAATACAGCAGTGTACTTCAGTTTTCTAGAAGACATCGAAATCTATAAAAAAGTAGATTCCTCGATCGATACCTGTCTAATACATATTTAATAAAATTTAGTCGTGCGAAGCCGGGAATGAAAGCCAGTTTTCTTATAAAATAGCTATTATGTGTAGGGATTGAAGTTATAGTAAAGGATTCTGTATAAAATTGACCAATTCAGTCACCGTACTAAAACGTTATAACTTTTTACGGTAAGGACGTAACGAATCCAACCTCCAACACCTCTAGGGCCCAGAAAAGTGTGCAAGTCAGGGATTTATTACAAATTTTATTTGATTTTGTTATAAATAATTGACGGATTCAGGATCCAAATTGGTCACTTTATTAGTAAACAATCTTATTCTGTATAATTTAAACTTTGTCTGAACCCGACGCGAATTATAGGTCCGCTCTTATCAGCAAAACCCGATTACCCGAGCCAGACCAAGCACCGCAAGTAGAATGGATACACTGCGAAGAGACTCCGATTATATCCCCAAGCCGGCACTTGATTGGAACCCGCAAGGAAAGCGGTAGAGTGGCCGTCCCAAGCAAACCTGGCGTCTATAACCAGTTACAGATGAGGCGAAGAGAGCCGGAAAGACTTGGAGTGAGGTGAAATACGAGGCTAAAGACCCAATGCGATGGAGACTCACTGTGGACGTCCTCTGCTCCATCTAGGGGTTATAAGACATGAAGTCTTGTCTTATCAGTGAAGGGACTATACGCTTTATTATAAACTTACCTCTCGAAGTTCTCGTCACAAAAGCAGAAAATGATCTGATGAAAAGTCCGTTTTTCTTAGAGTATTTATACTGAAAATATTCTCAATAACTTAGTTATGGAGCTTCATTTAATTACTTGGAAAATTGCATTGGCGCTTACAATATTATAACTTTGATGAGTTTTATTACATACAGAAATTAAAAGTAAAGAAAGACCAGCTGGCTAGCGATTATTATGTACTCAGCAAGACGAGACGGTACTTTACTCCGGGTAACCGCTTGCAACTCTATACAGCGCAAATTCGGCCCCACATGGAGTACTGTTCCCTCCTCTGGGCGGGAGCTTGCCAGTACGAGCTCCTTCCGCTTGACCGTTTTCAACGAAGAGCGCACTGCACCCCCTTCAATCCACAATCTCAGTTTGAAAACAATCTGAGATCAGACCGTGACAGTCGAACGATCTCCTATCTGCATCCCAATAACCAAACCCTACGAAGACAATCTATTTTTGGCGACGGATAAAATGCTCTTTGTCGTTCTATTTTCCAAATAAAGTGAATAAAACTGTACAAATAACATTAAAATATACATGTGTATGTTTAAAACATAAAAAATAGTTTTTTTAATTATTTGAAAAACCGGTGTAAGTTAAAATCTGTTAAAATAATTAACTGTTGAAATCGAGCTTTAGCTTAGATTTTTTAATTAATTACCACGTAGGTACTGTATTTATTATTCAGTACACAGATTTAATTCTGGGAGAAATTACACGATTGTTTAATTCTTCGCTGCCACCTAAGCCTAGACTATCATTTCCTGGTGAGGACTTCTCTGTGCCGGTATTACGCCACAACAAAGCACACTAGCGCGTCTAATGGCGAAAAATTTAACCATTTTACTATGTTCACTTTCCACCCAAGCGCCACGCGTCTAGCTTTCTTTCGTTCATTTATTCTGATCCTTTCATAATATCAATTAACAGTTATAAATGTAATTGTTCGGGGGTCAGAAGGGGTCTTGAAATGAATATGATAGCAATCGAGTATATGTTATATATATGTTGGTTTTATACACAATAGAATTATATATATTAGCCACAACTGGCACTACAGTGATCTGCAATTACTGACTACAAATAAAAGGTAAACAATTAAGACAAAAACTAATTCGTTGGTAATGGACTCTACCGTCCTGTATGGTTAATCAGTTTCTAGAATACAAATATAGAAATTACCTGAATACCGCAATCGGGAATTACAAATGAGTTTATTGTCATCGAGCAGTATTATTACATTATACATACATAATTGTATTTTGCCGTTAGCAAATATGAATGGGTATTAGACATTATGAAGAATAGTTATTATGATTTATTTACCAACAGAAACTTGTCTTTGGTAATAGAACTTATATATACTGCTCAAAACAATTAGCGGAACAAGATTTTTCTCCTTTCTATTGCTTAAACTAAAATTAGATTTAAATTAACTTGTACGCAATTTTTTACCTTGTTAATTTGTTAATTACTACAATTAATAAAAAAATTCAATTTGTATTTTTTTTATTAAAAAAAAAATTAAAATGTGCATTGTAGACGAAAATCAAAGTGACGTCTTTGAATTTTCATTACTTTCTAATCACAGAAAACACATTTAAAGTAGTTTTTTTCAATCTTTTGAGTATTAATAGACATTGAAGTGAGCCTTTTGAGTATTGTTATTCATTGAAGCGAGTGAGTTTAGGTCATAATGCCAGATCTGACTGAATTGCATGTCTCCCGAGCTATCGCTTTGCTTGAAGAGGGTCGAACTATGCGTTATGTAGGAAATGATCTAGGAGTAGCCCCTTCTGTTATCTACAGACTTTGCAAGCGATACCGTGAGACGGGAGAATACTCACGAAGGCGTGGTCAAGGTCGAAAGAGAAAAACTACACGTTTGCAAGATCGCTACATCGTCAACTGTGCTTTACGTAACCGCACCACAACTGCAAGAGAAAATACACTAAGGACGGCTACTGGTGTAGAAATTTCCGACCAGACGGTAAGAAATAGGTTGTTGGAAGCCAATTTGAGATCACGCCGATCAGTTCGGGCTGTGCGTCTGACAATTCAACATAGACAAGCTCGCCGACAGTTCGCGCAAAATCACGCTAATTGGCAACTTCGACATTGGAGGCCAGTGCTTTTTACTGACGAATCACGATTCCGTCTAACACGTTGCGATGGTCGTCTCCGTGTTTACAGACGCCCAGGCGAGCGATACAGTGCAGCAGCCGTCCAGGAATATGACAAATTTGGATGTGGCTCTGTGATGGTTTGGGGCGGAGTTAGTTTGGACGAGCGCACAGATCTCGTCGTTGTTCCCGGGCGCTTGTGTGCTCAAACTTACATTGAAAATGTGCTCGAAGATCATGTTTGGCCCGCAGCATATGGTATGGGCCCAGATTTTCTTTTAATGCAAGATAATGCCAGGCCGCATACTGCAGCCATCACGTCAGATTACTTACGACAGCAGGAAATCCGAGTAATGGAGTGGCCTTCCATGAGCCCTGACCTAAATCCAATTGAACACATTTGGGACTTGCTTGACAGGCGCATCCGGAAGCGTCCGATTGCACCTCAAACACTGCAGCAGCTCACTGAAGCGTTGATTGAAGAACGGGAGCGAATTCCACAAGAAGATATTCGGAGGATCATACGAAGCATGCCGCGTCGTTGTCAAGCCGTGATTAGGGCTCATAGAGGCCACACACGTTACTGAAAGTCACTAAAGACGAATATTCAAACGATATAAGAATATTTCTTTGATGGACCTTTTTTATCACCAATTAGTTTTTCGTCTACAATGCACATTTTAATTTTTTTTTAATAAAAAAAATACAAATTGATTTTTTTTATTAATTGTAGTAATTAGCAAATTAACAAGGTAAAAAATTGCGTACAAGTTAATTTAAATCTAATTTTAGTTTAAGCAATAGAAAGGAGAAAAATCTTGTTCCGCTAATTGTTTTGAGCAGTATATAAAGTATTAAAACAAAAATGAAATAACTAAATACAAATATTTCTTTTCTCCCAACAATAAAATGGTCAAGTTTTATCTATATAGCGAATTTTGAATTTCGAATTATGAATAGTACTATGGTGTGGTGATTTGAATTTCGATTAAAGCTTTCGACGCCATTAGTGCTTTCGTGAATTTTCGTATTTCGAATTATATTTTTAATACAGTTGCTCAAAAAGTGGCGTATTGCAATTTGCAATGACGTATAGCATTCGGGATGTGGGCTATTACACACTCGTGCGTTCTCTTTCCCAACTGTCAAAATAATAACTATTAAAAAGAAAAACCAACCACGAAGTTTTTATCATTCATGCAAATATTTCTAAAAAGACGCTACTAATTTGTTTCAATATCAGATTTAATGATTTGATTATTGAATGAGTTAGGTTAGGTTTCTTTTCATTTCATCTCATTAAATTTCATTTTCATTTCATATCAATAAAAAAAAATCTACTAAAGACTTGGCTGTATGAACGTAGTTCCCTTTGCCTACCCAGAATGGGTGAAGAAAAAAAAATCTCTGCTTATATTCTTTTAGGGTTGACGCCATTTTCCAAAAATGTTCTTTGCTAGTTTAGTTGTTTGTTATATTATACATTAAATATTCGAATACATGAACAATCATACAAAATTAATAATAGTTTGTCTCAAACAGTAAATAAATATGCAACCTAAAACTTCTCCAGTTAGTATAAAAAACTGTACCAATTTCAATGTATATGTGAATGATAACTTTTATAAGAAATAAATGATTAATTAGTTGAGTTTATTGTATTTGTATAATTTTATTAAATTGCTTAATTTTTTCGCAACTGTATTAAAAATAGTTGTTCAGTAGGTACACGTACGGAACCGTCATTGCAACTTGTTCCCTCACCTTCAGCTGCGCCTTGGCTCGGGTAGACATTTGTCGGAACTCTTTGCAATGACAGGCTTTCCACACTCGAAATATACTATATGTGGTGTGGGGATTTGAATTTCGAATCATGTCCATGTCTGCTGTGGTGTAGTAATTCAAATTTGTTGTTGACTACTTGTTGTCTAATATCTGGTTGAGCCACGCCTCGCACGTCTCTGTTCGCATAATGCAATTAGTGCGTGATTCGTATCAATATCTGTAACAAGAAGTATGTTATAGTAATACATGATATATTTCAATCAACATACCATTCTTTAATGCAACAGTGGGCAAAGAAGCAGGAGGCTCAGTGATACCGCCCATGGCCACTCAATGTATGGCACCCACATGTTAAAACTTATTGGTTGGTAAGTCCTATTGATTCAAAAGCAGCTTTTAATTATTTAAACACGTTTATATTAGATTTTACACATTTATTCAAGTGCGTAAAAAAAGTGCAGGATTGATTATTATTATTATTTAGATTATTATTAATATATTAAATCTTTCGATGATGGGCGTTGAGCGTGGTGGAAGAAAGGGAGCTTCCCCCCCAACGCCAAAATATTTATACGGGCACGGGACGAAGCGTGACAATTCCAGTAAATAACTCAACTTACCGTTTGTTGTTCTTTTACCAAAAATGGAGCCATTAAACGGTATCTTCTTGTAGGTTGCTTCTGTCAGGGTAATGATGGCAACAGCCAAGACAAATAGAACATAAGGCATCTTGCTGAAAGAGAACAGTTTTTAAAACAGAGAGAAGAGACCTTTGTCCATTGAGGAGGTGAAGGGAGTCATGACTTGAATGAGTTACTCATTCAAGTAACATATTGCTGAATTAATTTTTTTTGACATTTAATATATAATACACCGGAAGATAACAAAATCCGCAAGTTTCCTAGAAAATTTATAAACTTTCGTAGAGATCAATTGTATTAGTTTAAGGCCACATTTTTTTTTCACGTCTCTTGGTAAATTTATAAAGTAACGGATATCTATTCGTAAGATTCTAAACGGTTAGGTAAGATTAGTTAGTGACTTATTCAACAAATCAGAGCAAACATGCAGTTTGGTAATCGCTTGCTTATTATTTTACAGTGAGTTCGATAAGTTTATAAATTTGTTTGATTGATTAATGTTTTTGATGTAAATTTTTTCTTAAACAAATTCCTTTAAAATAAACGACTTGCTTTGAAAAGTAATAAATAATTTCTTATTTAATTAACTATTTCTATGTAACTGTGACGGAGTGGCCTGTTTGGTAAGGTGTAAAGTAGTTTTAAATTCATCCTTAAACAATTTGAACTGATGTGGGGTTACTCTGCATTTTGTACCGCATGAGAGAGTCTTCAGAGGAGTTGTTCGGAGCTGAGTTTCAGCAGACGTCGTGGCATATGAAATTCCACCCGTATCACCTCGACGTCCGCCTTCCACAACTGAGCCTTTTAAAGTCAGTTTTAGCACCACCATGTGGAACCAGCTGAACCACTGAAGTATTTCCGAAATAATTTGTCTTTTCCTTTATTGACGGTTCCATCGAAGAGTGAACCAATTTTTAAAAGGCCGGTAACGCACTTGCAAGTCCTCTGGCATTGAGTGTCCATGGACGCTTAATGTCAGATGAGCCTCCTGTCCGTTTGCCCCGTTCAAAAACCAGAGACAGAAGCATAATCTTCTTGGGCCATAATCTCAGCTAGTATAAGCGGAACAACCCCCAAATTAAAGGTGAGAAGGAATATCAAATGTCCCAGGTGATCTGAGGGAAATAAGAGAGTAAATCTCCATACTAAGTCAAAAACTATTCTGACGTACCTTTGACATTAAATATCATTGAAAGGTTTTCAAATATTATATAACAAACAGTGAAGCGCCTAACCAATATATTCATTCCCTAATAGAGTTTTAATCCCCGGGGATAAACTTGATCATAGAGAATATGCGGTGAAAATCCAATAATCCTTTAATTGAGTGGACAGCCGCCATCTTGTATTTTGATGCTATAAATTGGCGGGAAGACGCCACTTTGACATCAGTTGCATTTCAGTGTTACCAACAACAAGATATTAAGGTAATAGAAATTTATGTTTTATAATTCCAACATAGTACTTACAAATTTCTTAACTTACATAGTAATAATAATAAAAATTAACACATAAAAAATAGGTAATACTTAGTTTTTGTTAAAATTTGCTTTAATGTATTTATTGATTCCTAATATTTCGTTGTTTTATTTCAAGTATCTTTTAATTCAAAGTAATTTAATAGAGGAAGACAGTTTTTAATAAAATATTAAAATTCCCCTTTTTTTGTAAATAAGAATCTACAAGATTTTTAGCTATATCTATCATCATCTCTAAATCCCGTTCGGTTAATATTCTTTGCTTTGAATAACAATTATATTATCACAGTTTAAAAGTAAAACAAAAACTTATTGATATGCTTTGCGACAATATTTAACGATTTAAATAATCTAAAACTGTTGTGTAAAAGTGTAATGTTTTTATTATTTTAATTTTTTATAACATTTATGTTTATGATAATTGTCATGTATTTCAGAAAATATAGCTTGTAATATATAGTGTAGATATAGCATTATATAGATATCTTTACGACAGCTTGCTTCCTTCGTTAATTTCGTAATTTTCAATTTTCTTTAGCTACATAGTAATAATAATTACTTACTTTTTTATATAATTTTTTTTTAATGAGATAAACTTCTTTAAACCTAAACATCTCTATTTGCAGATGTCAGCAATGAAGTATGCATTTGTCGCTGTCATTTTGGCAGTTATCTGCTTAGTTCAAGTTAGCGAAGCAAATTACAAGACCGCTCCAATGAATGGTATTATGTTTGGCAAGAGAGGTCCTTCTGGTATGTACTTAAGAAAAGCACAAAAGAAAAACTTTGGTCATATTTTTTATAATCACTTTCTTTTTTTAATCTATTTGATTGACAAATCATGAAACAGATACAGAAACCTGAACAGACCTAAAAAGGTTGTAGCGCCACTGATTGTTTGGTTAAACAAATAATATATTAACAATTTTTTTCACAGAATATGAGAACAGAGCCAAGGCATTTACTGCCCTCTGTGAAATTGCCACTGAAGCTTGCCAAACCTGGTTCCCTTCGCCGGAAAATAAGTAGACGACTTGATAATCAGGCTTAATGTTACCAATACATCTAATCGTATTTATGTAATAGCAAAATAAAATTTTATGGACTGACCACACTTTTATTTATTGAAAGCGGACTTTACGAACTTCAGAGTATTATTTTATTATTGATTAGTTACACAATGATTACAGTTAAGTTGTTATTATAATTTTTTCTTGTTCAAAATATAGATTATTTTAGAACAAATATGATAACCATAAAAAAGGGTGCGTGAAAAAAGGGTGCGTGTACTTATGTACGCGCGTAAGAAGTTATACTTCTTTGGCATTATTAAAAATAGTTTTTGATTGCATGAAAATAATTAATTACAATTAGATAATCAAAGACTGGAATAGGAGTCATTATAGTCAATAAAGTTCAGTTTACATTTGAAAAATTAAATAAATTAATATTTATTAATAGGTATTATTTTTATTAATATTTTCTAATACTAATTAGTATTGATTTAAATTAAATAAACGTATTTTGATTTGATTTGATTTGATTTGAATTATAAACCTAACCATATTTTGATAATAAGAAACTAAATATAGTCTATGGAATTATGCTGTCAAACTTCTTGGATTAAGGATTATGGTAAAGTACTCACCAACAGTATTATTCTCATGTTGTCGTCGTAACGGGCGCTCTGATAATGATGAAAACAATTCGATAATGTTGTTTTATAGCAATTCGATTCAACAGATCATCAGTTATCTAATGCCGTAGGGATTTTCTAATTGTGAGAAATGCTAATTTTTAAATTATATATCGATTAAGCACTAGCCTAAATTATTCATTAAGAAATAGAAAACTCCGGATGAGACTCATAAATAAGAAATATTTTAGTTTAATAAGCTTTATTATTACGAGTACAGTTGTTATGCTATTTTTAAACAACTTATTGGAAAAGTATTGAATCAAATCCATATCTACATACCATATATGGGACATATATTTATATGGTATGTAGAATCAAGATAAGTTTAGAAATATAAAAACAGTGTACTTTAGTATTTTGAAATAAAACAGTTGTTCTAGTACATATTTAATCAAAATAATATACAATGAAAACAATTTTTTGACACTTTTTTAAATTATTTTCTGTGATTGATTCCGGTATACAAATATTCACAATGACAACAACAAAAACTAGGTATAAAGTAACATATATATAAAATTAAATATATGCTTATTTTTGTCATGATCAAGATGTGTGTAGAATGTTGTGTAATTCAGTATATAAATCGAGTATTTGCCCACTGACAATTCGTGTATCTCGCTTTCTATTCTGCTAGCACGGAGAATACGAAAGATCAAATGTTTAAAGAAACATACTTAATAGAAACAGTAAATTATTAAACAATCAAATTGATCAAGGCTCCGTATTTGAAAAAGGAAAACCAAAAATACATATTTTATTATTGTATTAAGTTTGACAACCACTGTTTGAACAACACCACCAAACTGAGATTTAACATAGATACAATAATCATTGAGCCTGTTGTCGTGGAATAATGTCTTACTCATGATAAACGTTCATCAACATATTAAACCACCGTCTGTGTACCTATCGTTCTGGTATTGATCGTACGCCTGGATACCTTTTTCTGCCTTGATTGTCGGGAAGTTTCAGGTCGTTCGGGCGAACTGGATAAATTCACAGATCGGTACTCAACTTTCTTTCTTTTACGTGAAAATCGACGCAGTTTTGTTTGCTGCTCTGGCGTTGAAGCAGACGGACTTGAATCAGTCACTGATTCATGTTTTAATGGTGGCTTACTAAGTACGGCAGGATGGCGAGGAGAGTCTGAAAATCGTCGTTGTATGGGACTGGACTCCCATGAAGCCGTCCTACGTCGGACCTCTTCAAGGGAACGATTATCTACGACGTCCGTGGCATCTGTAATCAGGATCATAGTGGGACATGGGGCAAATATGCATGTATTATAGATGGAGTTATAAATAAACTTAGCAATTTATTTGAGCTCATACAACTGATGGGAATTATTAACAAAGTATATTAATCTTACTTTGATAACTTGTACAATGTACAGTCAAACCTGGGTAAGTGAGAACTGGATAAGTGAGAAAACTCTATTAGTGAGAGTACCTAAATAGCCAGAACCCGTCATTTTTAGTTCCCAAAACCTCTATTAGCGAGAAACAGAAACCTCTGTAAGAGAGAGTCGTTTTTCCCTCATGGACCTCAGTAAATGAGAGTGCTACTTTTTTATACCTCTATAAGCGACAGTCGAGCTTTATTTATTTATATTATTTAGGAGGAACTCTAGCTACCATAAAAATACATACATGCATAAAAGATACAAAGATACAGTAACAATTAATGACAAAACAAAGTACAAATTTAACATCTGTTATTTTATGACTCATTCTTAACTTTTTAAATAAGATCTAAATAAAATAAAATATACCTATATGTACATAATATATGTTTGTGCACATTATGCACATAATTTTATCATATTACATATTTACTACATTCGTACTTGCTGTGACTTTAAATTGCTGCGTACGTCATTTATTTATTTATTTACAGCCCATGGCCAAACTTAGACTAAAAAACTATAATAAATTCAATTAGGTTATTTACAAAATTGACAGTAAATGCTATCCTCTTATCCCCTCCAGATATACTCCAGATATACCCCCATAAGCTTCCCAAACAGGTCGCTCGCCGGCGAAGAGTCGAGAAACCCATTAAGTAGCGAGAGTAGCCGAGCCGTCTTAAGCGAGAATGAGATTGTGCTCCCTTCAACTCTCGCTTATCCAGGTTTGACTGTACTAGTTTTTTTTATTATATATAGTAACCCATCGGGCACGCGAACAGGCAGATCCGAAAAGCTAGGCAGAAGGGCAGTGTGAAATCTCCTAATAATCTTTCCTAAAAAGTGACTTTATTTGCTTAAATCTAGGTCTTAGCGTCTTTCGCCGGGCTCGGGCGAGAACTACTCCGGAAATATCCTCATGATATTTATGGACGAGTCGGAGCAAGTTCTAATACGTAAGTATTCGTCCATATAAGTATGAAAATTAAATGTAAAAAGTTATGCAGTGCGTGCGAGGTCTAAGATACGTTTCTAAGTAAACGACTAAAAAAATTGGGTAAGGAATAATATAAATAAATCAGACAGAAGACACAGTTAATACTACTGAAGTCTTGTCAAGTTTATCAAAATGAAACAAACCATCATTTTCTGCCAATTCGTCAGTAGATATGACGTCATCCACACGACTTTGCTTTTTTTTCGCCTCACTCTCCGCTCTGAGTGTCTTGATATAATTTTCAAGTCTTTCAGGATCTGTCACTTCATCGTCATCATTCCTCAACCGAACATATTCAATGGTAAGTTCTGGAGAGGGTGGCGCTTTGGAGTATACTTTTTTAGCAGTTTCTCGTTGTGGAGAATTTAGAGCTGTAAATAGCGACATAATAGAAGTAAAAAATGTTTTAAAAAATTGCAATGGCTTTTTGGATGCTAACGATTAAAGCCAGCCCTGCGATTCTGCGGTTTTCGCATCGGCGGTCGCTCTGAAATCAGTCGTGAAGCAGTCATTTTATGATTTGGCATTCTGATAAACAATAAACTACAATCTCCCGCCTTTTTAGAATCGTTTTAATCGCAGGGCTGGGTAAAAGGGTTGGTGGATTCAGTTTCCGCACTTAGACTTTCACTAGTTGTGCGTACGATTTAATAATTTACATAAAGCCTGATAATAAATAGTTGAATTTGCTAAACACTAGACCATTGAATATACATTGATTACAAGTAGCTATCTACTAACGTCTGTTAACATTAGCCTCCTAAAGGTTTCATTACGTCCATGGGCAGATTAACACTTGATTTTTAGTGACCCGCATAGTAATTAAATAAAAATAAAACAAAAACACGTGACCCTATTTCACCAATTCAAATCAAATATGGACGACGATAGTGAAATGAAACTCAAATGAAGTAACCAATGCGCGGTGCATTGTTTTCCTTTTCATAAGCCAACATTATTTTGAATCTTTATCCACGTTTATGTATTAAAGTTTCACGAAAATGAAATAAACAGAAAATTCAATATTGTCATCGGTGTGTGCTTTTCATCGTCTTCTAAGCGTCCTCGCTCTTTCCAAAATGGAAGTCGACTTCAGTTCAGGACATTTTAAAATGAGAAAAACGCGTCATTTAATATTCAGTCAAAGTAAACTAATCATAAAACTTACGTTGTAGATTCACGAACATGCTTCTTATGATTCTATTCCGCTGTTCCTCTTGATCACGGCTAGATATTTTTTAAAGTAAACGACTACGGACTACCTGTTGCAATTGAGGTATGGAACTGTGTGTCACAGATCAGTATATCTCATTAAAGAAAAATAAGTGTGCTAATAAAAATATGAGGGTAGACAATTATTTGTTACTACCTGATTTTGTATCATTTAATAGAATTTGTGTTTTGAAAATTCAATTTGAATTCTTTTATATTTGTACGTTTGTAACGCGAAATAAATATCGCCTTGTGCATCTTAATATTATAAATTTATAATTTACTTAATTTAGTAATAATTCAAACCAATACAAAATAGCATTATTACTTTTGCAAAGCGTTCATATTTTTTTATCAAGGTGCTATAAATGGTTTATGTTGGTAATCAAGAGTTTTCAAATAAATTTTAAGAAAAAAACATAAAAAATACAATAATACATTTTGCATATAAAATCGATTGTTTATTAATGGATTATTTTTTTAGCATCAAAATTTATTAATAAATAATCGATTTTTTCCTAATTTTTGAATTAATTAAAAAAAAAACTCCCTAAATATTATAGTTTTAATGGTTTTTTTTAATTAATAATAAACAATAGATTATAAACACAAAGTAACGTTTAAGAATAATCAAAATGGAAATTACCTTAATCTCGTTTTGATAGATTTTAGGTGAAATTTGATAAATGCTGAGTGTATACCTTTTCAGTAGC